TGGAACGGTGGCAGAGTAGGTCAGAGGCTGGGTGGAGTTGGTATGGATATGACAGCATCACCACTCCACCACCCATCCCTTACAACATGCTGCAGCCATGTGACATAAGATGTTTGAAGAAAAAAGTTGCATCTAACATCATTTTAGCATGCCATTCCCTGTTCAACTCATGTTCTATAGCATAATTAGGTATCTTGGAGCTAACACAAAAATCAAATGAATACCCACTAAACCCCATTCAACTTGCTTGCAGTATCATCAAATGGGACAATCCCAGCTGGGTAGGTGATGATGTTGACATAGCAACCCAATGTGGTGCAGTGACAAGGATGGGCCACTAGGCACCTTATTGCTGATGTGGCACACCAAGTCACACATATTGCGACTACCTGCACTGGCAGCGGGATGGACACTACTGTACTCACATGAGCCAGGAGGTCCGGCTCAAAACACAGCCACATCACACATCACATGAAGGAAAAGGCTGGCCAACTTATGTCATGCCCCAACAGCACTTGGCTGCCCAGTGGCTGCGTGAATTTAAAATTGCCTTTTTAAGTAATTACATTTAAAAATGAAAAATTGCCATTTCTTCATCCAAATTGCATGTCTGCCTGGCCTGCATTCCACGGCCTTGAGGCTTGCAGCCCTGGGGATCAGAAGGGGAAAGTAAGCTAGTCTCACCAAGCGTATCTGGCTCAGCCTCCTCGGCACGAGTGGATGCCACCCTCAGTCCATCATTGACTGCCTCAAGCCCTTCAGGTACCACATCCCCTACCATATACTCAAAAACCTCCTCCACCATCACATCCCATCATCTTCTGGAGTACCTGTGAACCCGACCTCATGTGCAATACAATCAGAGCCAGGGTGTTACAAAAATGGGGCCGGAGGCGCCCATTTTCGTCCGTTCTTGGCGCAGGAAAGTGGAAAGTGGAGGTGGGGTGGTTCATTAGGCTTTACAGGTAGTTTCACAGATGTTGTAACATGAGGTTTAACAGATGTTAGCACAGTGGGTTTTTTGGTAATTGTTGATTCGTTAAACTTAATTACTATACAAATCATGTGATACAGAACCCATAAGAGTCTAAAATGGGAAATTCCCATTTCCATAACACAGGGTGGACATCAGTGTCATTGAGGGGTTGCCTTCATGGTGCAGTTATCGCCTTTGCAAGATCTGGATCAGTTTTGTGAAGGGAATTGAGGATTAAGGATAGTGGACAGGGAGTTAGACTGTGATGGGAAAGGTTGAAATTGCCTGAGTGGCACAGTTCAAAAGCCTAGATCTAGTTAGCACTCCACATACTTATAAGTAGTTTAAGTATTGCAATTGACTCACTTTGTTAGATCGGGCAGATTTGGACAACTCTGGAATGGAATCAGAGACTTAGCATGGAAGGACCTCAGCCTCAGCAACTCAGGCGAAGCGCTGTGCCATTGCTGGTTGTCCTGGGGGTCCCTAATTTTGGATCTAGCAAAGGGAAGTCTCTTGGGGGAAATCAAGTTGATTTCAGACTGAGGTTACAATTTACTAGGTACATTGCATATAAGGAGGGGTCCGGAATCAAAAGGAACAAGGGTAGGATGAAAGGAGACAAAGGGAGCTGGAAGGAGGAACAACACCGAGGGTCAAGGGTTTGACTCAATGGTGTTTCCCAATGGAGGAGTGAAGGGCCAAGGCCCAAGGAGGAAGGAAGGAGGATGGGAGTGGGGAATGGCTAGCTGACTGAATAGAAAGGAAGCAGCAGCCCAAATAGGAATGAGGGAGTATAGTGGAATTGAATGGGACAATGCAATAGTTGCAAGGTCTGAAGTAAGTCTGGAAAGTCTGAACTCAGAAGTTAAACTCTGGAATATTGGCAAAGGTAATTAAATGGAATGAGCTAACCAATACAATGGGTATAAGCAGAGGTGGGGTCAAAGTCCGAGGTTGGAGCTAAGACCAGAGGCCCCAGAGACAGAGATGCAAACAGGATTCCAGAGCAGAGGTCCGGAGTTGGGAGCATAGGTGTTGCATGCTCATCTGGAAGGTGTTGAGGTTGAGGTCGGACCTGGAATGTTCCAGAGTCAGACCAAAGGTGGTGTTGGAGCCTGAGGTGGGATAACCTCTTGGGAGTTGGCAAGGAGAAGGTGACAGAAGGGAAGTAGGCTCCAGAGTCAGTTTTGGAGTTCTGGGACCCCGTAGCAGAGGTCAGGATTGTATGACACACTTTTTGAATCCTATCCTGATGATTCATGGCTTGAAAAGTGTACACTAAAGTCTCAGGGACATGGTCCCTCAGTATGCCAAGCTTGGTGTCAAGTTTTATGTGGCATGAGTCAATCCCACTTTGCAATACTAGTGAGTGAGAAATTTTTTATGGGGACAGCAAAGATGTTTCAAATTTTTGTATTTACTGGTTGCCAAATATGGCTTGAGATCAATATAAAATAAATCTGGCTTGGCCAACTCCAGGCACTGCTCTCCTTTCAAGTCATGCCTTGCCGGTTGGGTGTCACGCATAAAAATGGGATGCCAGCTCGGAATTTTGTGTCATGCTTGGGACCATGCTGGTAGTTGGTCATGTGAGTACAGTATTATCTCTTTAACCTCATGTTTCACACCACTTTGTATTTCTTTTATCTTGGTTGGCCACCCGAACATGTATATAATAGGGGTGTTCACAGTAGCGAAAAGTACAAGAAAAGTTGCCAAAAGTTGGACTTTCCTAGCGACTTTTGAGCTTGACTTTTGACCTCTTTTGATCCACTTTTGAGGTCATTCACAGTTGTGTGCAAAAAAAGTGTGTCAAAACAGCCTCTCTGGTCATGAAGGATTTGAATGGATTACATAATGTTCACTCTGCATGCCCATTCTTAGTGAACGTGAGCACTTAATCCATGCTGCTCTCAAGCATGCATCCAGCCTCCAAGCCCAGTACCGACATCAATGATGCAGTCTTCTCTGCAACCTTTGCTCTATCGATGAGCTGAGTGATCTATCCATTTCCGATTTTGACACTGATGACGACTCCAAGTCCAAAACCTCATCTGACACTGATAGCACAAGTACAAGTTCCAGCAGCAGCAGCAGTAGCGCCTCATCCTCCAAGTCCACTGGTAGCACTATAGAATCGCTATCTCATTCATCTATCCTTTCATCCCACTCAACCTATGAAGACCTTGTTGAAACCTACACGAGGCTCTGTCACTCCCATGTTCAAGCCATCCGACGTGTCTGGCAGTTTCCTTACAATGTTGTTACCACTAGAGTCCTCTTCCCACATTCAGTTCCCAAGTGCAGCCAGCTTTCCTTTGTACTTCAGTGTTACAAAGAGGACGATGCATGGCGCTTCTGCCACAACCTACATGTCTCACCTCATTCCTTTGATGTTCTTCTATCTCTTATCCAAGAACATCCAATATTTTACAACAGCTCTAATGTGGAACAAGCCCCCATATCACACCAGCTCGTGATAACTCTTTACCGCTTTGGTAAATTTGGGAACGGTGTATCAGTTGAAGCTGTCGCACAATGGGCAGGCTGCAGTGCTGGAGCAGTCATTAATTCTACAAGATGGATAATTGCAGCATTCCTCCCTCTTCATGACCAAGCAATCTGCTGGCCAAGTGCATCGGAGAAGCGGGAAGCTTCTGATTGGGTGGAACGAGTCTCATGCCCTGCTTGGAGACCAGGATTTTGTATGGTGGATGGCACACTAATACCACTCCATGCAAAGCCAGGACATTATGGCGAACAATTCTTTGACCGCAAATCCAATTACTCCCTTAGCCTAATGGTATGCCATTCCATTTTCACGAAGCTTTGACTGTCAGGGCACACCCACCTGACCCAGCTCCACCTGCCCTGACCCAGTATCCCGCTCACCTCTACCCCCCCACCCTCCATCACGTTTCCTCAACTCCTGTTCTTCTTTCTATCCTTTTGTTCTTTTATTCCTTCATTCTTTCTTCTATCTTTATCTAACGGACAACCTTTCCTCATACCTATGTATTATTGACCCGCCTGCAACGCATGCACGACACACCCAGCCCCAGACGACCCGGACGGCCTCATGGTGCAATCCAGCACATGCCCTTGGAATCCCCCACGGGGACACCCAGATGACTGCGGCTGTATGTGGGGTGACGTGGCAAACCTCATGTGACCCAAGCCGCATGTACATAAAGGTACCTGGGGTGGGAACCAAAGAAGTAACCTTCTTCTCACAGTTCCCACTTCAGGTAAGTAGCATAGCCTCCCCTTTTAATAACAACTCACAGTTCCCACTTCAGTCTGAGTGGCCAGGGACCATCATCCCGGACCGGGCTTGCCAGTACGCACGCCCACTCCACACCCTGCAATGGCCTCAGTGCCAGGCATTACCCTCATGCCGCCTCGACCCCGGATGCATCCCTGACATGTGGCAAGTAATGTTGGGGGTGTGAGTGGAAATCCAGTTGGCATGAAAGGGTTCCGCTGTGCCTCTTGCGACTCCAACTGCTGCTGTGTGTCAGGGGACGACTCCCGGGTCCCCATGACCCTCCCCTATGGTCCACAGCCTGACCTATGAACAGCCCTATCCAGGGCAACAACTCTACTGTGGGTAAGGAGATGAATAGATAAAGCAGTAGGTAAGGTACACTTGCCTACTGTGGGTAAGGAGATGAGAAGGAAGCTAACTTCTCATCTTCCCACAGTGGCCACAATATCAGCAAAACTTCCGGGGATACCCGGAAGTCACATGAAGGGGTAGGAACCGGGTCTGGAGCATGCAGCGTGCGGAGCGTGTGTGCGTGCGGGAAGCGCGGCGGGTGGAAGTGGGTCCGGACGCGGGTCCGGGTCCGGGCTAGTCAGGGTGTGTGCCCTGACACTGTGCCACATCCAATTGCTGCTGTTGCTGCAGCTCTAGTTGGCGGATTTGTAACTTGAGCATTCTGCATTCATGCTTATTTGCCTCATGCTGTCTATGTGTAGCAATGCATGCCATGTATTCTGCATGCCACTGGTTTGACTCTCACTCTGCAAGTTCAGACTCAAATTTGCTTGCTTCATGGAAATCAGCGAGTGAGTCTCGCTTTACCTTGATACCCCATGCCATGGTACAGGCCGAAGATGTGCCTGGTGTCATAGATCTTGAGGTTGGTGTAATAGGAGCAGGGAGCCGCAAGTGCCAGGGTGCAAACCTTGGGTCAACCTTAGGTTTGGTGTCAACACTCTGCAGCTGCTCGTCGAGTAAGGTAGTATGGGGTGATGGAAGTGGGGAAGGGGAAGCATACCAAGTCCATGCCATCTTCCAACACCTCAGCCAGAGTTGCATCCTGAGACTCCGGTACATTTGTATCCATAGTAGGGGAGGCTGAAGAAAGGTTTTTGGACCCTTGGGCTTGTCCCACAGTTGAATTTGAGATCAAGTCAATGGAATGTTTTGGAAGCGTGGACCAAATTCCATCCAAATCATCAAACCAAGGGAACCTCGAGTGTATCTCCACTAATATTTAGGAATATTAGTGCATGAACATCTGAGGAAATTTCTACATACCCATTTTATTTGCGTGGATTTCTTCAATTTCCTCATCTGTCTTAACACCCTGACCTGTTTCCTTCAGGAACTTAAGGTACTTGTTGTACTGTGTTTCAAGCCTGTCGGATGAAGGTTGATGATTGAATTTGCATGCTCAAAATACAACACACCAACTGATCTGCCCATGAATTGCAGTGGTATAGTGGGCTAAGTCCTTGATGTAAAAAGCATGTTCAGGCTCATCATCCCGATCCCAAATAGACTTGGCAATGATAGCCCAGTAGTCCTTCTTCTTCTCACCAGTAGAAACCTAAAAAAAAAACGAATCAAGTAAAAGTATGGACACCAAACTGGAACATAAATCAGTCAGACCCTTGACTGGCTCTCTGCCTTCACTGTCTGGGAAGAATCTCCACATAGTTTGAGACGCACAGATGGGTTTTCAAGCAAGTAGGATACCAGCTGATCCGTCCATGTGGGGTTGGCAAGTGTCATATCCATCCCCAGCCAACAACTTCCAGTCCCTCCGATCCCTCCGGTCTACCTCCACTCCTTCTTCACTAACCTCGGAGCTCCCGTATTCCGCAATCCCCTCGGTACCCCTCGATGGTCACCACCCCCTCCTTTCAATTTATTACCTACGCCTCCCTAAGTATGGAGCCCTGAAGACTTCCGGACAGCTCCGACGTCCGCTAGCGCACTCCTGCCTCCGCTGGGCAATACACTCGCCTGCCCTGCAGAGTCCACCTTTGGGCCTATCTCTCCTTTCCATTTCTGGGTTATCACCTGCCTTTCCGTTAACCCTGTAACCCAACTCATCAGTAATATTCAGTCAGCTAATGTTTAACCCCGTTAGCTCCGCTCCGCCATTTGCGGACCCATCTTCACTGTAACTATATATATATCCAACTTGTACATAGGTTACACCTCAGTAATAAAATTGACTAGAGTTTACCCCCTGTAGTTCTGGTTCCCAGTTAGTAAGTTAGGGCACGGACGTGTTACTTGGCACAGCGCTCCTGGCATAAGTCGCTGAGGCTGAAGCCCTCCGCCATGGAGACTCTCCTTTGTCTCAACCTGGTCTCTGACAGCAAGCCACTGGATGCGGCGTGTGGTGGGGGTACTGATCTCCTCAGTTTTTAGACCAGTAGACCGGTTAGCATGCTTATTTGGTGTGGGTACCACTGTTGAAGGAGCTGCACGCTTGCTTTGCATTGCAGCTACCCAATCAGGCGAGGAAGAAACTGTACAGTATAGGATAGTAGTACATGTGACTGTTGGAGGAAGCGCCCTCAGCGCATGTATTTACACATGTTTATATGACTCTATACAATCTAAGAGTTAACCACCATGTTGTCCAAATGCCATTGACCTGGTTCTTTCTACAGTGACTCAGCACAGGGTTTAATCAGCTTAAGGCCGAGTTTTGGAACCTGTTTTTAAACCAGTTTTGGCGCTCTTGCAGCCCCAGAGCCCCAAGACAAAAGTGAGTCTTGTGACTGACTTGTCACAAGTTGGTGAGTCTTGTGGCTGACTTGTGGTACTGTGAACACCCCTAATGTCCGCAACTTGGCCAGAACACGATATCTAACTATCGGATTGATATCGCGTTCAGACACCTGCTGGCTAGATGAGGATAGAGGGAGTTGCCGGGTCATTCAAAAATTGAATCCCTCAAAGGGGTCGTGAGAACGAAAATTTTTCGTGGGAATTTCCCTCGAAGCCCCTTTGAGGGTGAATCCTAGGTATTGGGTCATGACTCATCAGCGATGCAGAACAGCCCAATTGAGGAGTGCATGCGCCTTCCTCTTCATCAGGAAACCAGTACTACCCCCCTTGTGACACAAGCGCCCCACTCAACCCAAGCACCATACTGTGAACGATCCTCGTTACCACGGAAACCTACCCCACTTGCCCAAAGACGTTCAAGAAGAGCTTCTGCAGTCCAGACTCAGGGTTCTGCAGATATGTCCACACCCGATCTTGGAATTGAGGGGGAACAGGAAGCCTCCTTGTCTACAGCGAATATGCACAGGCCACGAGGTTTTGGGGCTAGGACCTCAATTAGTGGGAAACCGTTGATCCCATCTACACTAATTCGAACCAGCCAGCTATCATCTTGAGGAACAATGAGGAACCCAGTTAGACTTCTGATGAAGGGGGATTTGAATAACATGGCTCTTGGATGGTGTGTACTTGTCTCCACATGTTGGTCAACAAGTATTCAGTAGTTCCTCTGTAAGGTCGGAGAAAGATTTTGTTAGTTGCCAGAGACTCGTGCAATTTTGGCATCGTCAGGATGGGGCCGACGTTCATCTCACTTTCAAGTCTATTCCACCTGAGGAGTACCAACCCACGTCGATCGTGGTGTCCTGCATCTATCGGGATGATGCGGACGAATGCTTTATTACTTCAGTCGATCTCATCTTCCTGCTCAAGATGATCATCGATTCTCCTTTCAGCATCGAGGAAAAGAATCGGATCCGACGGAATCTAGAAGGTTTCAAGCCTTAAACAGTAGTGAAGAGCAAGCCAGGAAAAGGGATTGGCTCCTTCTTCGCTCTTATTATGGGATTCGGAGAACCTAAACCTCGGAATATTGAGAAGGACTTGAAAGTTTTTCCATGGAAGATCATTCCGACCGCCCTGGAGAAAGTGATCAAGAAATATGTGAGTAGCATGTTGTTAAGTGTGCCATCACTAACTCCCGCTAATGCATACACAGTCATATGCGCCTACGACAGGTGCGCAACTTGACCCGATTGTCTGTCAGGATGGTGTTAAACTGGGGGAGGACTCACCAGCAGGCCATCCGTCCACCATAGATCTGCCCTGCAGCTCGCAAGTGTGGGCATTGTAAGGGTCTGGGCTCTGACGTGCATGGTTGTAAGATAGGTATGTGATACATGCTGAGGATCATGATTGCAATTTATCCTTTTATCCTTATCTTCAGTCGCCCGGCACTCATAGATCGGGGCAGCAGTAATGAGCTTGGGGGAAGGTGTGGTTTGATGGCGGTTTGGGGTTTATCAGCATTAACCACCAGCAAGAGATCATGCACAGCATGTGCATGTTGTGGAAGGTTGTAACTGCATGGGGTGAAACCAAGAGAAGGGTATTGGAAATCAACAAATTGGACCTGCTACTTTGCCCTGATTGTTCTCAAATATTACATAACTTACCACCCTCAGAACCACAAGGCTCCTCACAAGATTGAGGCCCTTAAGGATTCTCTTTGCCGTCTTGTTCGACGGACCTCACCCTTGATAGTGATTCAAATGATCCCCACAATGTTTACACAGGCAGATACATATAATCAATCATATCTAAATCATGCTGGGCCAGGATAAGCTCGCCATCATCCACTCCGGAAGGTCGCTTGATTTCTTCATTGTTCACGTTCATTGGATATCGTACTTCCTCAGGTACACCTGCCCAGTCAAAGTCAACTAGCATGATTCCGGGTGTACCGTCTTCACCATGATGTTGGTAGTTCAAATGTCACCGTGCACATATCCTGCTTGGAGACTGGTCACCTTCCGGTTTCAAATGAAGCTTTTGCATATGAATCCTCCAATTCATGATAAGTATTATCGATGAAATTTATGACAACCATATACCATCCACCGGGAACGGGCTGAAAGCCGTAGGAAGGCACGAATCCCAATGATGAGGATTTGCAATGCTTCCTTCGAGTATTGATGGACGAACTTGATGCATATTTTGTCATCACTGGCAGTGCCATAAATACGAGTTTCTCTTCCTTAAGTATTCGAATGAATTGTCATCCAGAGAAAGGAAGTGGGTAGGATGCGGGAATCCCACGTTGGGTGGCTGGGCAGGGGACAGGGCAGTAATACATGGAAGTTCGGATTCGTAGTATTCAACGCTCACTGCACCCAAAAAACGCGCGGTTTGCATCCGCATATCGACATCGGATGTGTGATAGAAGAGCGGCAAAGTAGGTGCTACAACTTGTAGATGAGGGTGTATGGTCCACAGCAGGGCGCCTGCAAAACCAATATGGGCACCTGCGACATGAACTTCAGGTCATGATGCACCTCGAGAACACACGTGCAACCTCACCAGCGATGTAGAGAATAAAACAAGGGAGATTGGAGCCCAGATTAGCAGCGTAGTACCAGGCCGCTTCAAAGATAGGCTCAGCACCGCCTAGGATAATCTCTGACTTGACTTCCATGAGCCCGAAGCAAAAGTTGTTGCACCGAAGATCTCCGTCAGTCGTATACCCGTCGATTTGGGCCACCAAAAAGTGGAGCCCGTACCCTCCAAAATCTTCTCCACCCTCCCTTTCTCGGCATCGCAAAACTCTGACATAGAACTTGACAGCTTTAAGTCATGGTCTGCCTTCGTCGGTATGTAAGTGTTGCAGTCATCTTGGAACTGGCCAAATATGGGATTGTGCAATGTGATAGGTATCGTCGCGGCAGTCGATGGTGGGCGATTGAAACAGAATGCAGGAGGGTTTCTTCTCTGGTCAGCAGCGAAATTTTTCGGCTTCCCTTTTTCCGAAGGTGCCTTTTGCGCAAACTTTGAAGCCCATTCCGCCCGGCCCTTGGGGACACGGTTGCCTTATACAATGAAGGTGAAACACTCTTGCCTTGGCCATCGTCAGGTTCACCAAAATCGATCAATCATTTGCACTTACTAATACAGGGGGAGACTGAACAATGATGTGTAGATATCCATCCTGAGGTGGATGGAAGATAATCTCTGCGCAGGCGATAGAGTTTCCTCATCATTAAGTTCAGCCTTCACATTCTCCTCGAAACTGCCGTCGATTGGGATGGAAACCTTCCAGAATTGAGGGTGTCTGCGTCAATGTGTTGGAGAGCGAACTTCTCCTCCTTGATGGCTTTCTTGAGGGTACCGACAGACTCTGTACTCGCAATTTGGACCGGAAAGATATGGTTGGCACCATCGCCATGAATGAGACAGTACAGTTCGAGAATAGGAGGATCTAATTGTGGCACTAAAGACAAGCTTGAATGAGAAAATAGGTCACAGACAGAGAAAGCTTCGCGACTATCACTCACCAACACGCGGGAACCGAATAATGATGTGTAGGTCTTGTAGGACAATCTCATCACTGGCGATAGCACTTGTTTGTTTTCAAGTTCAACATTCGCATCAAAACCGTCGTCGACTGGGATGGAAACCTTCCAGAGTGCGAGGTGTTGGAAAGCGACCGTCTTCTGCTCTTTGATGGCTGAGGATGCCGACAGTCGCTGTCTTCGAAATTGCCACCGGGAACACTTGGCTAGGATCATCGCCAAGTAGCCAGCAGTTGAGATGGAGCGTGACAGACACGGATTATTGGCAAGTCCAAATGATCATACAACCACGCATTCAAGTCCGCTTAGGAAAGGTTTCCCAACGCGATACGCCTGCGTCTGCACCCAAGTACTAGTAGACGGTGGAAACACGGCTCCACCCGACAGGAATGGGACCCGTGACTTCCGCCCAGCAGTAATTTGCCAACCCTTGTCTATCCTTGTCTACCCTCGTCTGCCCATCCATCCTTGTCTGGCCTCTCGTCCATCATCCATCCATCCCCTTTCACCCTTCCCTCAACAATGCTCCAGCCCCCCCTCGAGACCGTCAGTTCGCACTTTTTCATTGCCACATGTTATCACCCAGCTAATGTACCTTCTGTCATAGATCAACCTCGGTATGCATCAACTCCTTTACACGCCTCAGCCGACGCATGCCAAACTTATGCTCACACCTGGTCTAACAATCAGGGCCCCTCACCGTCCCTCGCATCTGGATCGGGCTCTGGCAATTGTCATCTCCTGCATGGGGCACTGCCCCTGTGTCCAAAGTCAAGTCGGAGATGAACCAGCACTATCTTCATGGATTCACGACTTTTGGTGCGCCGACAACACCTGCACCATCCGTGATCACTCACTGAATCCACTGCTCTGTAGATATGGCAAGTATATTTTGACTCCTATCTCTTCGATCTTAGCGTTTGTTCATCAACAATATTCTTTACTTTGCGTGTCGGTGTCAATTAGGGTACGAACACTTTGTTTCACCGTGTACCTCGTGTTTTTTTCCCCCCTGATTCTCCTATCCGTCTCCTGCGATCACAGCCGACCACTATGGCTCTGCAGAGTTAATCTTTGGCCAATTTCGTCGAGCCTTGTTGTGAGCGGATAACAATATCTTCGGTGAGGATGAAATAACCTTTCGGCCAAGCAGACGCCCTTCATTGCCATTACATCCACCGCTCTGCGCTACAAAATGGTGCATATTCACGGAATCTCACATCCCATACAGCCGTTCCCGAGTAGAGGATGCTGTGCGTGAGCGTATGCGCAGAACCATGGGGGACACGATTGACATACTTCAAGTACACTGGCAACATTATGACAACCTGGACTATCTCAATGTGTTCCGATACCTGGTTGATATTAAACGTGATGGCAAGCTCAAAGTCAGGGCTTTAGGCCTTGTCAACTTTGACTCTCATCATGTCAACGAAATCTGCGAAACTATCGGTCCCGGTGAACTTCTTACTAATCAAGTGCAGGTGGGTGGCCAGTTTATTACCACCGGAACTGATTGAGACTACATCCACTAGTTCTCTTTAATCGATGTCCGGCCGCTCTATCGCATGGCCATTGTATGTAAGAAACATGGCGTTAAGCTCCTGACATATGGCACATTGGTATGCCCGACCTGCTTTTTTCGTGTTGATCATATCTAATCTAATGATTGGCGAATCATGTCCCAGTGCGGTGGATTCCTTTCTGATTTCTGGTTAGGGAAGCCTCAACCAGACTCATATAAGGATAAAATAACGCCTTCTCAGCGGAAGGTAAGCTCGAAGCTCATCCTTTTTGTCCTTATATGAGCCATCCTTGTCTCACTAATTGCATAATGGTTCATTCAGTATCTCGACGTCATCAACGGATGGGGAACATGGGATCTCTTTCAAACTTTGCTCACAAGCCTTCGAACGATTGCAGATCGCCATGGGGGCTTGAGTATCGCGAATGTAGCTACTCGTTGGGTGCTGGATCATCCTTTTGTAGGGGCTGTTATTGTTGGTAAGTTCCGTCCTCCAAAATCGCTTCAATCTTTCATGTGGTTCTGGCTTCTTTGGCTGGCCCCTCCCTTTTGGCCTGCTAATTCATGCATGGATCCCTCTTTGAGTCTTCTGTACACTAATGTCATGATTGACTCAAACTGACACACATGGACATCCACTGTAGGTGCCCGACTCGGAGTAGCCCAGCACTGTGAAGATAATGCCCAGACCATCACGACTAGTTTCCATCTGACGGCTGAAGACAATCAAATCATCTTGAACATCTTAGCACAGTCCAATGGTGGGAGGCTCATCCACATGATGGGAGATTGCGGTGCTGAGTACCGTTAAAGCCGAAATTTGAACTCGGAGGATCAACATATGGATTTGAGTTTGAAACTTAAATTTCAAATAATAATTCTAGCCACTGAGACATACATATATCATCATTGATTTCATAAAGTCTGAGGGATGAATGGCAAGCATGAGACCCGTGACAGATTTGCATGAGGGCCATGTATAGTTAACCACATCTTCTCTGCAGTCCAACACAATGTGGTCGAGAGTGAGTCCTTGGCAACTATTAAATGTGGTGGAGTATAGAGGAAACTGTTTGCGACGGATTGTGTATTGCATATAGGGAGGTTGGAAATCGAAATTGATGTGAGGAATTAGGTAGGAGATGTGTGCATGGTTGCTTTGATTGAGAATTCGAACTTCAATCCAACATGGACAACAGTTTATAATTAATACTCATTGGTTTTTCACCAAACCTTTTAGCACAGAAAGGTTTCTCAGTAGAGAGCATATAGCACTGGGTTTGAGTTTCAATTTGTGATCGAGTGCTTCCGTGGACTTTGTCAGAACATGACAAGTGGGAACAAGCATGTCTGGACCTTTCCCCGGAAGGGAGGCCGGAGGTAGGACAAGTGGAGGGACCATGACCTCAGTGACTTGGAGGGGAGCGCTGTGCCAATGTTCAATTACACTCGCTGTTTGGTCCTTAACTTCAGAATGGGAGGGCATGAACTCTGGGGGGATCTAGTCGTCAATTTTGCACTGAAGTGCCATCAACTATGGTACATGACCTATATACATAATACAGGACAAAAGGGAAAACCCAAGGAGGACTTACCCACTTGCCAGGTTGGCAAGCTCGTGAGAGAATTGCCTTATCAAGCATTGTGGAGTGGGTAAGTGAAGGGTGGAATTAGTGACAGCTATTGGGTAATGGGAAAACCTTTGCAGGGTTGGTGGAGGTCCTAGGAGGTCCATAGTAATGTTGGGTAGATAGAAATATTAATAGTCTTCTATGATGAGGATAAGGGGTACCAGAGAAGGTACCAGAGATCGGAGGTGGAGGTGGACCAGAGGTATACCAGAGGGAATGGCAGAGGTGAGGGGGAGGATGAACTGGAAGTGAACCAGAATGGTGGCGGAGTAGGTGGTTGGGCAGAGTTGGTATGGATATGACAGTGTCCCCTTCTTAGGCCTGAACCCTGAAGGCCATAAGACCCACAAGAGAGGCTAAGGGAGGTACTGTGGACAGGAGGAATGTTAATGCTGGAGGAGGCAGAGGTGGTGGAGAAGAAGAAGAAGATTTTATCGAACCTAGTACTCAGGCCCAGGCTTGTGTGGATGGTGGGCGTGAAGGGCCACAACAAGATCAGGAGCATGATCAAGTTCCAAAGCTAAGAGCGAAGAGTATTCCTCATCAGTCCCCTCATAACCTAACCAATGCATGGTGTAGACGAGGTTACAACCCCATCTATGGCGATTGATCTTAGAGTCGAGAATTTCCCCAATCTCGAACTCAGGTTGTCCATCAATCACAATTGGCAGAGGCAGAGGTTGGTTGCAGTTCAGGATGATGTTAGGAGTGGCTGGTTCAATTTGAGACACATGGAAGACTGGGTGAATGGCTCTCATGGACTCAGGGAGGCAGAGCATGATGGAGTGACTACTGTCAGGGCACACCTGCCCGACCTGCCTCCACCCGGGCCCACCTCACCCAGTACCTCTTCTCTCACCCTGCACCCTTCCTTCATGTTCTCTCCCCCCTCTATCCCTCTTCCACTTCTATTTCTATTTCTATTTCTATTTCTATTTCACATGGACAACCTTTCCCTTATATCTATGTATTATTGACCCACCTGTGATGTGCACACGACATGCCTAGCCCCGGATGCCCCGGACGGCTCTAGGGTGCAACCTAGTGTGTGCATATTGAAGGAGAGAACAAAGGAAGGTCAGTTGGGAGGTTCAAACGAGACCACCACCAAGCTGTTCCCTGGTTCTTTAGTTAGGATGGGGAAGTGTACTAGTATTATTTATTGTAAATATAGTACCAATCCGAGTGTTTTGGCTAATTCTATTTTTATGGGTTAGTTTTAAAGTTCCTGGGAATTGACTTACAGATAAACCGAGCCCTGTGGAGCTGTTTCTTTATTGAAATTTCTTAATTTGTCTAGGTGTAATTCTGTGTAGCGTTGTTTAATTTGGAATTTAACTTGAATTAAATCTTCTACTTGGTGAAGTTTCAAAGATTCTATTCAGTTAATGGATTTGGATTGTGTCTGGAGTATCCCTTGAGTTTGTTTTATTTTTGTCTTATTTTATTGCTTGTTTTAACAGTAGCAAGATAACTGTTTTGTGTTTACACTTTTGAAATCTGGAGTGTTAACCAGCTCTCCTGTTGAAATATCTACTTAATATTTCTCTCCTTAATTGCTGCCTTTTACTACAGTGGCAATCTTAACTGTATATCACTTTTTCGCACTGGAGTGACAACCAGAAATGCTTGAGAAAAATAATACTCTATTTTCTTACTTCTCTAAGGGGGGCGAAAAGTCACAGAAAGGGTCTCCCTTTTATACTCCTTGGGTTGCCTTCCTTTTTCATGCTCTACCTTCTATTTACAGGATTTATTTACAGTGTATTTTTCTCAAACTGAATAAAAAATGAAATTTTCACGCTATAGTTCTACTGCACTTTTGCTGCGCTGAACTGCGGTTCTACTGCAGTCAGACTGCGCCTAGAATCCTTATTGTCCTCCCTCGCCTAAGCTATTTTAATGGTTAATGTTAGAACAGGGCGGAAACGGATGACTCCGGAGTGGAATCGGAGACTTAGCGTGGAGGGACCTTGGCCTCAGCGACTCAAGCGGAGCGCTGTGCCATTGCTGTTTGTCCATTTGGTCCTTAATTTCACAGTAGGTGAGCAGGAAGTCTCTAGGGGGCATTTCAGGTTGATTTCGGACTGAAACCAAGATGAGTATGTACAAGCGCCGATATATATAATGGAAGGGGCAAAAGCACAAGGAGAACAAAGGGTGACCGAATCGGAACGGAGACGTCCAAACGGGAACAAAGGGTAGAGGGAGCGGAGCAGTACCGAAGGTCATAGGGCAAGACCTGTGATACGTCTGAAAGGAGGTAGGGAGGGCGAGGCCCAGAGGGGCAGGAGGATGAGGGGAAGTGGGGATGATGACTAACTGGCTAGAATAGGAAGAAGCAGTAGTCCAAATAGGGATGAGGGGAAAACGCGAGAAATACATTACAAGCGGCGAGAGTGCCGAAGGCGGTCCGCGAAGCTCGGGGGTTGTGGAGCTTACGGAGGTTACGGAGGCGGGGTTGGAAGTCCGAGGAATATTGGCAATGGTGTTTACGTAGTATGAGGTCACCAATGCAATGGACTAAGGCCGAGGTGGAGTCAAAGTCCGAGGTAGGGACTATGACGGAGGCTCGGAGTAAGGTACGAGCGGTGTCCGAGTGCGAAGTACGGAACAGCGGTGGAAGGTCGTAACTTGGTGGAAGGGTGGCGGAGGAGTAACGGAGGGAGAAGAGAGGGGAAAGGTAAGGAAGAGGGAGTGGCGGAAAGGAGAGTAGTCAGGTCCGAAGGTGAGTATCGGAGCGGATGGGGGAAGTGTAGGAGGATAACGGGAGGGTGGAGGTGTTGTGAAGGGGGAGCGGAGTAGTAGGAGGGTGGTGAGAGGTAAGGAGGAGGTGTGTTGCCAGGACCGAAGGTGAGCATCAGAACGGCAGCGGTAGGTTATGACTCCGGAGGTGAAGAGGGTGGAGGTCCGGAAGTCGGGTCGGGGTCGGGTATGCACGGATATGACAGTTAATTAGAACTTGGCTGCGCTGCATTTGTCGCAGTTACCTATTTCAAATTCCATATATATACCATTAAAAGTGCTATGACTCGGTGATTCTGAATTCAAACTTCGCATTACTATGCGTACAGCTGTGCTGAGACCTTCAGCTGATTTATTCCATTTTTATTTAGTGACATTTAGTTAAAATGAGACTGAAATGGTAAATGAGTGAATTATTCAGGTTTAAAACCGAAAGAAAAGTTGCTAGTAGTCAAGAATTACTCAAACGAATGTGTTATAGCTCTCCACTTCATTAGAATATTGTTCCCTAAAATTCCCGCCATGGTCCATCGTTGTTAGAACGTGCAGATTCGGACGACTCCGGAGTGGAATCGGAGACTTAGCATGGAAGGACCTCGGCCTCAGCGACTCAGGCGGAGCGCTGTGCCATTGCTGGTTGTCCTGGGGGTCCCTAATTTCAGATCTAGCAGAGGGAAAGTCTCTTGGGGGGAATTCAGGTCGATTTCGGACTGAGGTTACAAGTTACTATGTACATTGTATATAAGGAGGGGTCCGGAATCAAAAGGAGCAAGGGTAGGACGAAAGGAGACAAAGGGAGATGGAAAGAGGAACAACACCGAGGGTCAAGGGTTTGACTCAATGGTGTTTCTCAAAGGAGGAATGAAGGGCCAAGGCCCAAGGAGGAAGGAAGGAGGTTGGGAGTGGGGAATGGCTAGCTGACTGAATAGAAAGGAAGCAGCAGCCCAAATAGGAATGAGGGAGAATAGCGGAATTGAATAGGACAATGCAATAGTTGCAAGGTCCGACATAAGTCTGGAAAGTCCGAACTCGGAAGTTAAACTCCAGAATATTGGCAAACATAATTAGATGGAATGAGCTAACCAATGCAATGGGTATAAGTGGAGGTGGGGTCAAAGTCTGAGGTTGGAGCTAAGACCGGAGGTTCCGGAGACGGAGATGCGAATGGGATTCCGGAGCAGAGGTCCGGAGTCGGGAGCTTAGGTTTTGTGTACTCGTCTGGAAGGTGTCGAGGTTGGGGTCGGACCCGGAATGTTCCAGAGTCGGACCAAAGGTGGTGTCCGAGCTGGAGGTGGGATAACCTCTTGGGAGTCGGCAAGGAGAAGGTGATGGAAGGGAAGTAGGGCTCCAGAAGTCGGAGTTTGGAGTTCTGGGAGCCCGGAGCGGAGGTCGGGATTGTATGGATATGACAGTCGTAGTTAGTGGTTTTCGTGAATTTCGTTCATATTCCCTGATTCCCCTTTGTATTATCACATCCTAATCCTCCATATGTATTGTTCATTGTTATAGTAGGTCGTCCTTGAAGATATCATATTTTTATGTA